CTATCTCCAAACCAGTGAAAGTACAGTGTTTAGACGCCTCTCATCGGGCCATCTGTCTTTTCACACCTCTACATTATGGATACACACCTTGTGCTTTAAATATCTCTGCAGGTGTGTGTGTGTGTTATCTGTATAGTTGGACAGACTGTGACCACAGACCATAAACGGTAATGATATGAAATGTGTGGTGTGACTATGGAAACCCCATTACTTTCGGTGAGCGTTTTATATACACACCGTATCATTTATTGCTTGTCAAGATGATGATGAAAGCTGCCGGCACAGTAAACAACACTCAAATCTCAAAGTCCACAGGGACAATTATAAACCTCACCACATGCATCATTCATTCTCAAGCAAATGGCCCACGAGAAAGAGAGAAGATACAGGATGCAGACCTGCAGGCTTGTGAAAAATTCAGATTTTAAGAAATGGCTACTTGTCAAATCACAAATGTGATTCGGAATTGAATAAGACACTTACTGATCAAAATACAGTAAAAAAACAGTAATATTAGGAAATATTATTACAATTTAAAATAACAGTTTTCTATTGCTATATATTTCAAAATGTATACATTTTTGTTATAGCAAAGCTGAATTTTTAGCAGCCATTACTCCAGGCTTCAGTATCACATGATCCTTCAAAAATCATTCAATCATCAACTGATTTTGTGCTCAAAAAACATTTCTCATTATTATAAATGCTGAAAACTGACATGCTGCTCATATGATTTTCACTTCATTTTAATGCTACTTAGAATCAAATTTAAATGTGTCCTGTTTGCTACCTCAATTTAAATGCAAGAATTGAAATGGAACTGTTAGTGCACAACACTGAAGATCTGAGCTCTCAATGAGCACAATGTGACCACTGAAGCTCCCGCGGTCCTGCCAACCTTCATCCAAAAAGCTCATAATCTGTGTTGACGTTTTTTGATTAACCATAGGACAGTTATGAAACTAAATTTGAATTTGGAGGTAACTGTAATGAATGAATAATATTTCCTCATTATCTGCGGGATTAGAGTGGGAGGTTTCTGAGAAGGGACATCTAATTGGCAGAACCAGGACAAAGGTAAGCAGGAGGCGGGCGGGCGAGCGAGCAGATGTGTGTGTTCGCTCTCTTCATTAGATTGATTGGGCAGACTTTGATGTCTGCAAACAAGTCCAAACATCAGCGCTCGCACCAGTGTTTGGTCCATAGCATTACGCTGTTGTAAACAAAACAACATTTTAATGAGACACTGATAGACTATTTATAAGCTGCTACTACAATGTCATGCTGGTATACGGACGTAAAGGCAACCTAATTACATGAGATCTTGTTGCAGATCTGACTAGAGATTGATAAGGGGGAAAGGGATTAGCATGACTTTCCCCACACAACTCCAACCATGATAACCATTGCTCTACGCGCCATCTGTGAACTGCATTAAGACTTGCGGTTCAGTGCCTTAAACTCTTTTTTTTAATGATAGTTGCCATTGCACATTTATTAGCTATAAACTATGAACTTTCTTAAGTTAACAGAAAATCGAAAAAGACATATAGAAAGCAGAGCAGGCCAGCCACACAAGCCACAAGCCCATCTCCTTCACAGTCACTGCTTGTTTTTCTCCTACTGCAGTAACAAAAGGCAGCATTTCTTTGTTAATTCATTATACACGTTTGTTCTTGCATTACTTGATAAACTTGAATAATACAAAGTTTTACGTGGCTCTCTGGTGTATGTGATTCTGAATGTCGTAATGTTCAGTGTGAGAAACTTCCAAAAATAACTCTATCCTCGTCCATTTGTCCATCTATTGTAGACAGCATCTTTGATTATAAAGCCAGAAACACATGGGGTTTTCACACTGCAAAGCCCCTTTATGTTCCAAAAAGTCCATTCAGGAAAACTTGATAGTACAGTCGGCAATCTAGCCTATAAGGATGCACAGTATAGCCTTTATGTAAACACATTGTGTGCTGCATTCACCTGGCAAATATGCAAACAATACAGGGTTTAGAAACTTACAGTGAAACAAGTGAAATGTCTTCTTATGAATACCCAGGATTGGTTAACCCTGGATAAATTATGAGCAGTGGGAAGCGTGAAACAAGATAACCCAGAATTTTATTTACTTGGGGTTTAGAATCACCCATGGTTAACTATTTCAAGTGTGAAAAGCCCTAAAGTTAAGGCAAGTGCGCTCATGTATCCACTAGCATTTGGCCAGCACACGTATTGTACTTGCATTGGGTTACAAATATTTTGTATACTTTTGTAGATTCTAACAACTAACAATAAATACACCCATTGGCCAAGCACTCGTGTATTTGCGTAAAAGTTCTGGAATAATAGGTTCTATTTGCTTTTGATGTGACAAGAAGCAACATATGCACTGCTGCATATCAGACCAATATTACCGTAACGAAACCGGTGCTACTTTCTTGTCTCTTGTATCACTCCGCAGGCTCGTGCTCTCTTGTTTAATACAAATGCAATTGGTGCCATTTTACCTCCATTGATTGTATTTTAAAATAGATTGTAGTCAGACCAAAGAGGGCTTTGGTATTACAGTGATATTATTCACCTTGTTGCAAGGCCAATTGTTTTGCACATTAAGGGACTTTTTTCTTAGTGGAAGTCTCAAATATAATGCACAGGTAAAAATTTTAAATAATTGAAACTCAAATCAGTATTTGATGTTCGCATATTTATTGATTTGAGGAGTAGGCGTATAACAATTAAGCGGGATTATGTACAGTCAACTGGTCATTATTGCATAATAAACCCTAAAAAAAACAAAACCAAAATAAAATAGACTGGCTGGCCTGACTGACTGTATTATATACTCAGCAAGTTTTTCAAGTGTTAGACGGGATGCCTAATCTGTGTTTTCAAGACTTTTGGCACTGTATCATACTGAGAAACACATTTCACTGAGATCTATTCTTGCACATATATGAAATCTGAGCTTCGCATGTCAGAGAGCTTGGGGCCAACCGAATGAGATGAAGTTTTGGGTTGCTGGAGGACCCACTCATCTAGAACCACATGCACATGCATCTCACTCAATTGCACTTACTGTGACCAAGTCTACCTCAGCTTTGGAAACTCTTGCATGCTCCCCACAGCTAACCACAAACTGTGGAGCACTCTTGCACTCTGGCAGACCCCATCAAACTCCACATTAGGTGAAGAACCTGAACAGCAGTCAGTGTGCCTTATATTTTCTTTGCATTTTCTCATTTTACTCATGAGGCTTAGGTCAAGTTAGATAAATATAAGGTTTTGAATATTTCAGAGAAAAAATTATTTGATCAACTTCAGTGACCTGATTTGTTCAAGATATTAAAAAAAGCAATAACATGCTGGTAATAAGTGGATTTGGCTGTGATAATATGGCATGTGAGTGACAGTAAGTCCAAACATAAAAGCATTCCATATTGCAATGTGAGATGTGACAGCTAAAATTGTGTATATTATGCATATTATCCCTTGGTCTGAAAACAAATTCACCCTGTCTTAGGTAATATCGAGAGTCCAGTATAGTCTAGGTCACGGGAATCACACCAGACCCTGTAACGCTGCTTTAAGTGGAGGCAGGCATAGTTGTTTAATCCTCATTCCTCCATCCTCTTAAAATGGCTAGTTTCTGGGAACCATTTATGTGCCTGTGGCAAGGGATTTTCCACTGTAAACCTCTTTGGCTGCCATATTGTTTCATAATGCAGGTTTTACGGGGGCAAAAATGTTTTGTCTGCTACTGTCTGACATCTCTCAAACAGTGATCGACTCAAATTATAGGTTACAGTTAAACTGTTCAGAAATGGGGTTGGTGAGAAAGGGTTGTTTTTGAAGGGTTATTTATGTTTCATTGTATTCTGGTAGCTTCTATGCCTGATATTGAAAATGTAAGTAAATATAATATAATATAATATAATATAATATAATATAATTGGGGAGATGTAAGTTCGCACAAGGTAACCATCTCAGTAACCGTAAGGTTTTCAATAGTCCACTTAGTCAAATGTATCAGTGATTAGTATTTAAACTCAACCACCACAGTTTAAGACTCAGAGTTATCTGGTCTTTAATAACGTTCTCAAAACATTAGCAGAAAACATTATTTATACATCGTTCATGGATTTATTTATTTTTTTCTGAGAAAAAATTTGGATGTTTGTTTAACATTTTTTTAAAGTTACTTCTCGTTTCAGAACCTTCAGAGAACATCAAAAATGACCTTCACATGATGATAAAAATGATAAATGATCAAATGGCATGTTCCCTTAAATGCTCATAGGCAGTGTTGGGGGTAACTCATTACAAGTAACGCGAGTTACGTAATCAGATTACTTTTTTCAAGTAACTAGTAAAGTAACGCATTACTTTTTAATTTACAAGAGAGTATCTGAGTTACTTTTTCAAATAAGTAATGCAAGTTACTTTTTTTTCCAATTTATTGATTGACAGCTCTCCTGTCCCTATATTGAGAGAAATCAGATGTTACTGTAGTCCTAAAATAAATATGAATATGCATTAATTCATCTCACTCACAAAAAAAATAACAGATTCAGTATTCCGTATATAAAAATAATGCAGCTCAGAAAGCAAACCTGCAATAATTAAATGTTAAACAACACAAATATCCTTTATGTATTTAATCCCATTCTATTAACCAATGTCTTAGCTTCTGACCTTCGATGATCCAGTTCAACCATACTAATAAGCATAAAAAGTACCGCAAAAGTAACGCAACGCATTACTTTCCATAAAAAGTAACTAGGTCACATAATTAGTTACTTTTTTATGGAGTAACGCAATATTGTAATGCATTACTTTTAAAAGTAACTTTCCCCAACACTGCTCATAGGGAAAAAAATGGACGTTTGAACTTTCAGAGAATTGAACGTTCCTTAATGGGAATGTTAGACAAATCGTTCTTAGAACACAATGAGCATGCGCGGACACAAAGAACAGTGACACGAGCTGCTCTGCACAGGCAGCGATGCTTGTTACTATAGCAATAACCTCTCGCGCACATCCGCCGCCTCCACCAACGTCTCTCACGGATCAGCGCGACCCTCTCCCCCTCCTCACCGCATAGCAGCATCCCTCTGTCAACAGGATATTTCCTGAGACGGAAATACGACGGGGGAAGGAAAATGGCGCTCATCCCATCACAGATCCTCAGAGTAGCGATACTCTTCTCTTATTTGTCCATCCTCTGCAATTACAAAGCCATAGACATGCCCGCGCATCAAACATACGGCGGTAGCTGGAAGTTTCTTACATTCATAGATTTGGTAAGTGCATGTGCATCGTTCCCATGCAGTGCCTGATATATATTTATATGATATCTCCATAATGCATTATATAGACAGGCCCGTTATGCTGAAATATGCAGGTTCCTTCCAAAAGGAGTCCAAACGCCAACACAAATAGTCTTGCGTCATATTTACTGAGCATTAAACGTTAATCACATGACGTAATGACTTTTTAAATCTCTAATGATGATGTCATGCTTTTCATATCTCACATCATTAATAATGAATCTTATTCTGAAGGGTTGTGCTGATTACGATCAGTTCACAGGAGGACAAATTAAGGGTGCATTTACAGTTTTTACATAGGAAATTGAAGCATCCTTTTTCCTTTTCATCCTTTTGTTCTGGCACCATAAGGCACCAGTCTGTTCGAGTAAATGCAGGTCACATTAGGCACCAGCAACTGCACGCACGCACATACACATTGACTGTTATGACAGTCTGTGAGCCAATGACTCATGTTTTCCACATAAACAGCCTATTTTCTCCCCCTTTTTTAAGTGATTTTTAATAGCAATAAAAGTTGTTTTGTTACACTTCACTTTTACACATCTGTTCCAGTGCAGTGTTTGCTTTTTTTCCCCCATTCTTGTTTGGGAATAATCTCATGTACAGATATGTTCTGTGCAGATGTGTTCGGATTATTGTGGATGGAGCTTTTCAAACCTTATGCTGTTTCATAACACTTATGATGTTTTCGCTCAGAATCCTTAGTACTTATTTGAAATTCTAATGCACTGTAGTCACTGCACTACAATTAACATTTATAGTTCAAAAGCTTGGGCTCAGTATGTTTTTTTTCCCCGAAAGAAATTACTAGTTTTAATCAACAAGGATGCATTAAATTGAACAAGCGTGACAGTAAAGACATTTAATGTAACATGGTTTCCATAAAAATATTAAGCAGCACGAATGTTTTCAATAAGAAATAAGAAATGTGACTTACTTACCTGCCAAAACTTTCATTCATATGTGCACATCAAATACATTTAGAAAAATTGTTATTTTAATCGTTTTGGTAACCTGAAAAACACAGTGATGACAGTTTTAGGTTTATTCATAAACTCTTTCATTGTTCATAAGCATAGAAAAACTAGACTCACTTTCATCACAAGCATAGAGAGACATGGACGTGATTTATTGTTTGAGCTGCTTTGTGTAATAGTATAATGATTAATTCTGACAGCATTTAAGGACCTCTGACACCACTCATAGCATTGCTATAATGAACCTGGATGATGAGGCTGTGTGAAACTAATATTAGAACAGACGATAAACACATGCCACGTTCAGAGAGGCAGATTATCTCATCTTGGCACAAGAAATGCAAGTACGTCTGGATCAAATACCGGCACTGACTATCCACAACTGATCTACTTCACTGTAGCATTGTTATATTTATTAACACTCTAAGTAACTACTACTGTGTTAACTGGGATTTTAGCCATTTATGTTTTCATCAGGCTTCATTAATTATTAAATATAGGGGTTCAGATTTGGCTTTCCATTCTCACAATAGGACACTTGAGGAGCCTGGCATAGAATTGATCTCTCAGTGTCATACATATAGTACCTAGTCGACTCAAGTGTGGCCGAAAGCTTTCAGTGATCTGACAATGAGATACCCGTGGATTAATTAGCAGAGTGTAATTAGCACAGATGCACAGGTTTTCTGAGTGTATCATTACTGTGATGAAAGGCAGCCTATATTTTTGGGAGAGCAGTTGCTATGTTGCAAACGCTTTGCAAGTGTAATTATAAAATCTTTGATTTTAAGACAAATAGGGTTGGAAAAAGTCTGTTCACATCTAATACTTTAAGACTGAAATGGTGCATTTGAATGCATAGCGTCTGAACTAATACAATTGCACATTGTTTTATGACATTTATTTTATCACGAATGCTAAATGTTATTACCTTAATTTTCTAAGACTGTCTTGCAATCCACTGTTTCTGCAGTATACTGTAGCGGTATGTTGTTTGATAAGAACTGAGTTTTCCTAGCCCAATTATTATTATTCCCAGCCTCAAACAAGCAATTCACTAGATTTCATGGAGACTTGAGTCTCAGTCCAGAAATCCTTGTGGTTGTTTATAAGCACAAAATAAGACTTTGTATAGCTAATAAATGATTTTATGCCTCTTTTGGCTTCATGTCCTTGCACCATGGCTGTTTTTAACTCTCAAATGATGTGAGAAAAGGATGAACATCCATTTTTAGCTCAGCAAAAGCAAAGATCAAAAGCAATAGTCAGGGTAAAGTAAGAAAAATAGATCATTTTAGGCGGCTGGTAATAGGGATTTAAGACTTTTCCAATAAAAGATTGGTTTTGGGCAAATCGAACATTTATATGAAGTCTTAGAAGGGCTTCTCCTTTCTTCAGACACCAGGAAGCAAATTTAGGAGCAGAAAGATAATGAGGAATGAAATATTAAAGAGTGTATTAATGGGAGACTTATTTGCATGTTGGATATCTGTGGAGGAGATATAATAAAGAAACATAATTCCATAATGTCTTTCCATCTTAAATTAATGTCAAAGCAATCTCCTAACACTCATCATGAATGTTCACTAATGGAAAAATGGGCTAAAAAAAGACATTAGCTTAAGACGAGAAAAGGTTATGGAGGAAAGGTTGTGTATTAAATTATTCTAATGCCAGTTTTCTTGCAGCCTGTCATGCATTGTAACATTTTAAAGCTTGAAAACTCTATCTGTATATTGTTCTGTTTCTTGTGATGCGAGTTTGTTTGCTCTTGGAAAATGATGGCCCTTAGAAATACTCATATTCTATTTTGAGACAACCAAAGATGAATGCATGGCTTTCATCAAGTTTCCCTTCAACTTTCCATTGTGTTCATTTTAAAAGACAGCTTTTATTTGCATGTCAATGAGAGGCCTTCCAAAAAACAAAAAAAACATGGACATTTTATTTCATTTATTTATTTATAACTAAAATGGACTAAAAGTTACACCTCAGTCAGCTTTGACTGCTCTTTTCAGTTAGGGCTTAAAGGAACATTTAACCCCAAAATGAAAATGTCCTTATAATTTATTTACCCTTAGGCCATCCAAGATGTAGATGAGTTTGTTTCTTCATCATAAACTTAGCATTACATCACTTGCTCACCAATGGATCCTCTGCAGTGAATGGGTGCCGTCAGAATGAGAGTTCAAACAGCAGATAAAAACATCACAATAATCCACAAGTAACCCACATGACCCCAGTCGTTTATATATCGTTTTATTCAATTATATATACTAATCGTTGGCATTCAGCTTTTGTTGGCTTATATAGTTAAAAATATATATATATATATAAATAAATAAAAACAGTTATACTGTGAACTATTGTTACAATATATGACAATGTCACAATGTAGAAAAGTCAAAATGCCACATAATTGTTCTTGGAAGTTTACAAATCTGATGGATGGGATGTGTCCCATTTCTTCTGGGTATACTACATTACTTTTTCCTAACCAGTATGTTATGATTCCCCATGTCAGGTCATTCAGGCGGTGTTCTTTGGAGTGTGTGTCCTGACTGACCTCTCAAGCCTTCTGACAAAAGGCAGTGCCAGTATGGAGCAAGAGAGACAGTTGAGGAAGCTCATTGGCTTACGAGACTGGATGATGGCTGTTCTGGCCTTTCCCGTTGGTGCGGTATGTATGAACCACCAATCAGATTTCTCATTTTGCATATATGCACTAACTGACTGAGATCTATAAAAATACTCTTTGTTTTTGTTAGTTGGACCTGGAGACTGTGAGCAGTGCTGCTGGCTCAATGAGGATATGTTGATATTCAGATAACATCAATGCTTAGAATCAACATTGAAAATTGGACTGAAATCGAATAAAAACACCAATATGGCCAATTATCAAAGTGAAATGATGCAGTGATCCAGATTATTACTGTGCAAAGAAATCTAACGTTCAAACTAGAGTTTGGAAAAGTTTCAGCTTTTATATAAACCCTGAACACATGCAAACATTGCATTTTTTGTATACGGAAAATCAGCAAAAGTCATTGGCTGCTGGCGGTGACTTACAGTGTGGTTAGTTTGTGGTTAGTGTGTGAACCTACCGTAAACTCTCTGAGCCATCAAGTTCCATTGTTAATGTGTGGGGGGGGGGAACAGTACAGTAACAACATGAATGCAATACTTTGTCTGAAGCTGCCCTTCCCCTCCCACACATGTCATTGACATTAATGTCTGATGTCTGAAACCACAGAAAAAGAGGCGAATATTCAAAACTTGTTTCGAGCAATCATTCAGTGGATCTAAGAAATGAGGGATGTTTATAGAGCATATTTGTAGGGGGTACCAAAGGTAAAATACTGCTTGCTGCATATGCCTGACCAATGGTTTTATATATATTTGTGTACATCTCTTAGTAGTGTACAGTATATATATATATATATATATATATATATATATATACTAAATACTTTTTTTCCCCACTGTATATATATTATTGAAAAGTCTGTACTCAAAAGGTTGCATTTATTTGATCAAAAATACAGTAATATTGTGAAATTCATTCTAATATGCTGCTCAAGAAACATTTCTAAATATTATCAATGTCAAAAATAGTTGTGCTGCTTAATATTTTCATGGAAACCGTATTACGTTTTATTTCCAGATTTTTTGATGAATAGAAAGTTCAAAAGAACAGCATTTATTTGAAAAAGAATAGTAAAGAAACATCTTTACGTTCACTTTTGATCAATTTAATGTATCCTTACTGTTCAATCCAGTTCAGACGGTTGCTGTGTGTTGTCTTTGTAGGGCATAATAGACAGCCTTTAGATTTGTATTTAGAACAAACATTGAATCATCCGATTCTTTAAAAGGAACAATAGGTGAACTGATGGAAAAGGCATGAGCCTGCAAGTCTGGTCAGACAGCATCTGTATTCTCTTAACACATACCTCTATATCTGGGAACATCCACACGTTCTGCTTTGCATAAGGGGACTACAGACACCAATACGCATTGTTTTAAATGTACATCCTATTTGTTTTGCAAATGCCCAGTCATCTATCTGGCACTGCCACAAAACCAGCTATGCAATAAAATCCTGTCCTGCGAAGTGGAGAAGGAAACACTATGTTGCTTCTGTGTGTGTGTGTGTGTGTGTGTGTGTGTGTCTGTGTGTGTGTCTGTGTGTGTCTGTGTGTGTGTCTGTGATGACCATCAGATAATTTAATGGAAAATATGTAAATTTTGACCACAAATGTCTTGCTTTGTCTCTGGCTGCCTAAAGATCTTTTAATATTGCATGACACAATGTTAGTAAGGAGTTTAAGATGTCAAATGACAGTGTCAACGTGACTTAAACCTTAAGTGGAAAGAAAATTGACTCTGCTCTGCTCATTTCTTTTTAATGAAAGAGACACAGGCATTCCACTTACATTGCAAGGGATCATTCATAATAACATAATAAAACCTATCTCTTAATGGCTAAATATTAAATTAAGCAAAGTGTAAAAATACAAAATTAATTCTATAGTGTGCAAATACACTACATACACACATATATATATATATAAGAATTTTTGTAAAAATTGTAATAGAATTTCACAATATTACTGTTCTTAATGAATTAATGTTATAAAAAATGCAGCCATGGAGAGCATAAGAGACTTTTTTCAAAAATATTTTTAAAATCTTATGTTAAATTTTTGGCCAGTAGTGTATAATGACTAGGCCTAGACTGAAATGTTTTTTCTCCATTTCCGTTACTGTTTTTGGGGAAATTCTGCAAAACATATTTAAAAATTAATAACAATAAATTAATATTAAATACAGTATTGCATTTTAAAATATAAATATAATAATAAATGATAAATAAATATAATAAAAATATAATATTTTAAAGATACAGATTTGACCATTGCATCATTCTGTGGATATTTGTAGGTTCCAGATTCTCAGCAGGATTTAACGAGATAGCAGACAGGGGAGGCTTCCTTGTTAGCTTGTAAAAAAACTTTGCAGCCAGACAGCCATGAAACAAACACAAAATAGAAGCTTGACTTGGCCCTGGCCCTCAGTCTAAGAGCTAGGCATGAGGCTCAGCTTACAGACATCACATTGAGCATCATTAGTGTTGACGTTAATATTGGGAAACAGGCTCTACTGTGTTTGAGTGATATGCATACTTTGTTAGCCTTAGCCCAGGTCATTTCCTGGCACCTGTTAGTGGTATATGTGTCACGCTGATATTCACTCTTCTGCATTGTAGACTGAGACACAATGGGACCAAATTCTTTGCCATCTGCTTAAAGGAATAGTTCGCCCAAAAATAAAAAAAATTGCTGGAAATTTACTTAACTCCATGCTATCTAAGATGTAGATGAAGGAACAGATTTGAAAAAATTTAGCATTACATCACTTGCTCACCAATGGATCCTCTGTAGGCGTTTTATCATTAAGGCGTTTTAACTTTAAACTGTTGCTTCTGGCCATAATCCTCTCATATCAAAATCTATCAACAAATGTGACCCTGGACCACAAAACCAGTCTTAAGTGTCAATTTTTAAAATGTAGATTTATACATCATCTGAAAGCTGAATAAATAAGCTTTCCATTTGTTAGGATAGGATGCAAAAAAAATCTAAATATTGAGAAAATCGCCTTTAAAGTTGTCCAAATGAAGTTCCTAGCAATGCATATTACTAATCAAAAATGCAAATCCAAATAAACCACCTGTCCAGGTGCAGTGAACTTATTTAACTTGCACTTTCAAGATGAAGCCAAGCGGTTACTTGAAATATGCTTTAAAAGCACAACAGTTCCCTTTCACAAGGCCTATCCTCATAGTGCCGCCCATTTATTTGGGAATGGCGACTATCATCCAAGCTCTTACTGGAAACAAGAATCCTGCTAAATAATTGGAGACACTCAAACCAAACAGAAATCTGTCACGCCCATAAATGAGGCCCATTAATGCAAATACGTTTGAGCAGTTCAGGATTACAGCAAGGGAAGAGAAATTCCTCCTTGGAGAGCCTGGGACTTCAAACGCTCTTTCACAAGGCCTGCATGCCCCACACCAACCTGCCTGTTTTTTGACAGCGTGTGTGATGTCCTCATCATCATAACACTGTCCTTTTTTTTTACAGAAGGCATCTGTAGCTCCAAGTGAGTGTTGGATAAAAGCAAGAAAAAAGAAGTCAGCTCTTAGGGATTAATTATGGTATGCTGATATGAAAATATGAGCTCTGTGTGTTGGTTCGCTGTGCTCATGGCTGGTTTTAGTGCTTGTGATGGTTTTGTGCAGAGACTGTCTCCTGTAGATGAGGGAATCAAAAAGGATATTAGACAAGTTAGACTTTTTGGCATAACGAGATGCGCCAGCATGAAACTGGAGTTAGGCCGTCTGTTGGAAGACCTGCTGGGAATCTGAGGGTGAGGAATGGGATCATTTTAAAGTCATTGCGGGGAGTAAAAGGTCTTAAATAGTTATGAAGTTCTCTGAAGATAAAATAGTTGCAGTTTACTCATTTTAGCTCATTTCTGGAAAGTCCATAATTGAAATGGCTGGCACCTGATAGCATACAAGAATAATTTACTATTCTAATGCTTGTTCTGTGCTGAATCATATAATGTTAATCATGGGAAAGAGCTTTAGCATTGTTGGTTTGTAGCCATAAGGCTGAGGAATAATCACAAACATGTCCTTTAAGTATGTTCAGGAAAAGAACTGGGTAATATTGGCCAAGTGCTTCAACAGTATAGAGATTTTGCTGTACTGTTTATCCCACACTATGGGTATGTTTGCACAACAACAATGTACTACAAATGGAAAAGTTTTGCGTACAGACGACAACATTGTCAAAACAATCCCCATTCACACTGATCCACGAATGCTGTATTATGCATGCCAGGCCAGTAGGTGGTGATGTGACTTTGTAAAAAAAGAAAGAAAAAAAACTTGCTTGCGCACATAGCTATGGACTGAACACGAAATATGTGTGTGCATGACGTAACCGTTTTCACAAATTTGCGTTTTCATAGTTTACATGGAGATGATAACAGTATTTTTAGTTTTTCAAAAACGTGCACTTTAAAACCTGTTTTCAAAAGTTTGCATTTTCAGACCCCCAAAATACCATTGTTGTGTAAATGAACAACTAAAACGTATAAAAAAAATTCAGTTTTTAGCTGAAATCCAAAGCATTATTTAAAAAAACATTGAAAGCAGAAAACTGTTCAGTCGCAGGTGCGGATATACACATTTTATTTATAATAAATATAAACAAAATTAAAAATCATATCACATACCACACATATTCTACACATCTACTTAATATTAAGGAATTACTTTTAAAAGTTACTATAAAAATTAAAAGTTATGTTTTACAATATGCTATATGCTGATAAAGTAAAGTCAAACTGCTGACGGATTATTATTTTTATTTTTTCGGGTGATTCATTATCGTTTTCTTCTTTGTTTTTGGTTTGCAGTTTGTGGTGACTATGTTCTGGACCCTTTACGTGTATGACAGAGATTTGGTATATCCAAGACTCCTGGACAACTTCATACCTCAGTGGCTAAACCATGGCATGGTGAGTGGAAAACGGCTTTCTTTTGTTTCTAGAAACTACAAGACTGTAAATAAATGTTTGCTGACAATCACTGACAATACAAAGTCTTTCTAAATGAACAATGATATTATAAGATAGACAGACAGACAAGAGATAGATGGATGGATGGATGGATGGATGGATAGATAGATAGTTAGTTAGTTCACTCTCAGGCAGGAACAAAAGGAAAGCACATTTTGTTCTTTTCAATCTCTTGGGCCACATTGACGTCAGATGTGAAATGCTAGTCATTGTGCAAAATTTCAT